CAGCTCTTGTCATCAGGATGCCTTAAGCAATAAATCTGTGGAACATATTCTAGCTGAGCTATAAAAACAAATGTGAAAAATCATGCAAAAATCAATGAACTTGAATTTCTGGCCATCAAAATATACAAATAATGGAAATTTATATATACATTTTGTGACACGATGCGCAACATAATGGAAATCCTCGAATTTGATATCCGAAACGCAATCCCGGTTGAGCTGTGCGTCCCACTGCTAAGGGTTGAAAACTGAAAAGCTACCCTCTTTAGTAAAAACTGCAACTGCAGTGCAAACTGCAGCAAGAAGAAGAAGAGCAACCCCTAAGCACCACTGCCCCCGGGCACATTGATGGGTTCGCAATGGTGGCGCATTTGCAGTGACAAACAACAATAAAAATGCGATATCAAGACAATCGATCAATAAGCAGTTACAACACACACGCACACACACACCGGCACACACGCAGGCACACACATAATCACAATTGATGATGAGCCGCTTGAGCATTGCGTGAAATTCAGACAAAGCGGCGCGCGACGTTCTCCCAGCACATGACCGAGATCTGGAACAGCTGCGCAGGCGCAAGCGCCACAGTTGAGCCACACAGTTGGCATTGGCAGCGACATCAACGGTGGTTGTTTTTCTTCGTTTGCTTTTCCACTTCCAAATTCCAATTCCAATTTGTTGTCAGCCAAATTTGGTACAGTTGCAGTAGGCACATCTCGCCAGGTTCTATGGCTCTACGATGTCTGTAAAGAGGTTAAGAGCAGCTCGTTTGCGCAATTTGTTGCGCAATCATTCAGGCAGCGAGCCACGTCTTGTGCTCATATAATTGGTTCGTCATTAGGCGCTGTGTGACTGAGATTGGTGGAGTGCATTGAACTCGCCGAGTGCAGTGCCAAGTCGACTTTTCAGCTGCCTGGGCGAACTTGGCACGTTCTTCTTGGCCCTATTTGTGAACCACCCCGGGCAGGGCATCTCGCTCCTTTCCTTATGTGATCCCTTTTTTCTCGTAATTTATGACTTTTTCCTGCAGCTGAGAATCGTTTCCCGTTTCCCCGCTCTCTGAAGGATCTGTTAACCAGTTTAGTTTTCCACGCGCACTGCTTGATATCGAATATACGTATGGATATGTATATAAATTACAGCATTTCCCATGCCCGGGAGCAAAGTTCGCAGCAGATTTACAACGGAAGCAATTTATATGCTAAGAATATTGAATGGATATCTTTAATGTGCACATCTATAGCTATAAAGCCATTTAAGCAGCGCTTCCTAATGCCAACCACTGAACTCCCAAGCTTCGCTCGTCCACGCCAATTACGACCGACTGCGGGGACAGCTTCCAAGTTCCATTGACATGGATAACATTTAACGAGTGCACAAAAGCACAGCCCAGCGATACTTTATGGGCTGCTTATCGACATAAACCGTATCTACCGAGGGTGCTGGTGCATAAGTGTCTTAATGTAATATTGTGGAACGCAGTGTGGAGCTCGGCATGAGGGGGGATTGTCTGAATGACCGAAACTTGAATTGCTGTTCACATGGGGGCAGCAACACTTGCAAAGTGGCTGACTACGACTGCTGAATGTTTCAATCAGCGTACTCAAAGCCGAACACTTATTTATTCGATTTCCATGTTGACAATTGTGAAATTAAAATTTGATTGGCGGCTGATAAAGGGTTATTCAATAGTATAGATATCATGTTTGTGGCACTTTCTGTAGGCGCCCGCATAGGGAGTGCAGCACTCACTGATTTAATTTTGGGTGTAAATGTTAATCAAATTAGCCACAGACACAATCAGTGTGCACATTGTTATTGCATTATTATTTTGTTGCTATTGAAAAATCATTTTTCTATATTTAACAAATCTGCCAGCCAGCAGATCTAATCTATTCTGTTCTGCTTGATGATCTGTACTCTATGGTCTTTCCCCCTGTTTGCAGTTAATCATTTATTTATTTCTTTAATCCTTGCTAGTGCTGTCAATAGTTTTTCAGCGCTCAGCACGTTTTGGCTGCGCAGCTGTTTGACTACTGCTTGAGTATACTGTTCGCAGGATTAAATACGGTTTATCGAGGGCGTGCCAGTTGGGTTGGCCTGCATGCAGCATGTGTGCTGATTTTTGCTTTATTGTGGCATTTAATCCGTATTAATTTTCAATAAGTGCAATGAGGTCTTATAAATGTTTGATAAATGACTCAGCAGAGGCTGCCAAGCACGTGACCCAAAAGCAGCTGCCGGACAGTTGAGAGGTTGAGAAGTTAAGCAGCCAAGGAACAGGATTTAGAGGCCGGAAACTGAGCGGAGTTTGTCATCTGTTTTAATATGTGCCCTTACAAATATTTCATTTCCTGTATTTAAAATTCTTATAGAACTGATCAAAAATAATAAATGATTTTCACCTATTTTTATCAATTTGATTTAGTTTTTCTTAATTTATATATTTTTATGTTTTTAAATATATTAATTGCCTACTTTTAGGGATCGATTTTAAAATAACTGAAATCAAAATTTTTGTTGCATACTTTCAAGCGCAGCATTTATGTTAAGTTAAAATACAATTCCCTTTACATTATTAGGCATCAGAGCTTAACAGACAAATTTTCGAATTGTAACAGACAGCTTTTAAAGTGATTTATTAACAAAATAATTAGAGCTCGTAATATATGTAATTAAAGAATTCAACTGGCAGCAAAATTCTTTATTATTTACCCACTTTATCTCGTTTTTATTGCCTCTGCAACAGTTCGTGCATTCGTTATGCAGCAGTTCGTGCTGCATAAAATATTTTCGCCGACATGAAAACTGATGTAAAGCACTTGTAAAATTTCATCAGCCGCAAAAAGTTTTCCCACTTGCAGTGCGCCGCATCTTGTTTGTTGGCCTGCCAATTGCTGTTTTTTTTTTTTGTTTTTAACAAAGTTTCACTTCATTTAGCCAACAGCGAGATTCTCTTGTAAAGCAGCAGCTGATGTAACAGAGATGCTCGGCTGCATTGTTGTGGCAGAGTTCTTTAATTAAATAACAAGTTTTCAAAAACTGTTGAGCAAACTGCTTGTTGCTTGCTAGTTGATTTTTTTTAAGCGAAATTAACTGTTTTGACTGTTATTTTGTACAACAGCTAAGAATGTTTTTTTTTAGAAGGAGGGAAAGAGAGAGAGAGAGAAGCACCTAGACAGAGCTAAAGACAAATGACATAATTCGTTAACATAATAACTGCCATGCATTATATAGCCTTATAAACACTTCAGACAAATAATGCTCCAGACGCTGATTATATATTTATAAGTATGTACATATATCTAGATATATTTATATACACATATATGATTCGTGACTCTCTTGCCAGCAGGTGCAGCTGAGGTCGAGACTGTTTAAAGTTTTGCCTGAACCCCTACTGCCATTGACATTGCCTGTAAGTTGAGTTTGTCACTTTGCGGTTTTCCTACTTTTCACTTACAGTTGTGTATATACATACACATATAAATATACGATATACATATATATGTAGGTATACTTACATTTATTTAATTTATGGCCAACTTTTCGTGTGACCGAAACAATAAATCTAACGAAATGCATATAAATTAGAAGCGCAAAAGCATTGCAGTTGAGTTTAACCGACTGTTAGATATGCTGTTAACTTGAACTTTAAGATTTATAACTATATTGTTATTGTAATAGTCATTTAGTCTTGCATATGTCTAGCAAATTGAATATTCACTTTTATCATCTATTTCTGGGCTTTGCCCATCGCCTAGATCAATCAAACTATTGTCGAATTGAACAGTTAGATTGTTGTGATGTCTTATATACGCCTTTTGCCAGTTTGTTTGCTGGGTATAAAAGAGTTTGAATGCTGTAGGAGCTGCCCAAATGAAAGGCAACTGGTTCTGGTTCCGTCTCGAGCGTTGATTCTATTTCTGGTCAGCTGAAATGCTTTGAAAGTCAACTAGGAACAAACACACAACAAACAATACACACACACATACGAAGACAATGTCATTATCGTGTATTGAAAGCAAAACTGTTGATTTGTTGACTGCAAGCGGATGTGACATATGAAAAGAAACGATGAGAATTAGCCTAGAGCCTCAAAACTACAGCCAGAACCATAACTCGGGATCATTTCTAGACAATTTGCCTACATATATCGCATATGCACAGATTATCATGATTATTAATTTAATTCATTTTTGCTAAAATGTGTTTTATTATTCAGGTTCATGCGCACAGCTCCAGACGCCCCTACAATTAAATGAGTGGAGAGCTCTGGGCCCTGAGAACAGCTGTGGCCCAAGCATTGATCTATGGGGGTATTACATAAACACGATCTGATCTCGGGGCCCATTGTGCTGTGGATAATGGTGAATGGATATTAGATAATGCCTAATGCCCAGACAAAAGGCTGGGCCGAATTAGTTTGTTTGCATTTATGATTTAGTTAGGCGGAAACACTGGACTGCTCGATGGGCCGTATGGAAAATGTCTTTGACTTCTCGATCTGTCCAAGTCGATTGTGTCGCTGTAGAAAGCCTGCTCCTAACTTGATATGTGGCCATGACTTTGCTTTTAGCTTGTTAACAATCGATTAGCCACGACGCACCTGAACGTGTTTTTCTGCTCTAAAGCTTAGAACTTGTCCTTGAGCGCTCCACAGTTCTGGGCACTTTCGAAATCACTCAAATAACATAAAGCTTCACCTCTTACAGTTTTATTATTATTATGTTCTATTATWATAGCCAACTGCGAGTTCCTTAACTTGGCTCAGCTGTGATATCATCTATTGAAATTGGCTTGGCTCGAGCACATTCCTCGTCAGGTATTAAAAAAATCTAATATCCATTTGAATAACTTGCAAATATCACAATTGTTTATTATTAATTTGGATTTATCTTTCCTAAATATACATTCACACACATATATACATACATATACATATATACACAATACATTCCACTTAAATACTATGAGTACAAATACTTTGCAACAATTTGTGTAGATAGAGAGTTTAGCTTCTTCGATGTAGGCAGACTGCCACGCCCAACAGCAAGGCTAACCTCCAGCTTAGGGTAGCGGGACTTGCAGCTGAGCTTTGCTCGGCGGGCAGACGGGCAGCCACGACCAGCTGCTTCTCGTCCAGCGTGGGCCTGTAGCTCCAGTCGATGGCATTTGTCTTGCAGATGTTGGCATAAACACGCGCCGAGATCTTCGGAGTGCGCGTGCGTTCGGGCACCGAGAAGTCCACGTGATAGAGGCCGAACTTCTCGGTGAAGCCCGCCTTCCACTCGAAGCTGTCCATCAAGCTCCAGGCAACGTAGCCACTGACATTTGCGCCATCCTCAATGGCGTCCAGCACGGCGGACAGATAGAGATTGTAGTAGTCCACGCGGGCATAGTCCTCCAGGCCGCCTCGATCGCTGACGCCATTCTCAGTCACAATGATCTCCGGTGCATTGTACTCGCGATGTATCCACATTATCAGATTGTACATGCCCTTGGGATAGACCTGCGGGGGAGCGAGATGAAGAAGGGAGTTTGTGGTAGGTAAATCTGTTTTGTGGTTCATTGAACTCGCGCACCTGCACAGCCACCACCCTCGGCTGGGATCCACCCCAATTTTAATCTTGGCTAAGTAGTGGCGAGCCACCCTTGGCGAGCATGTCCATCATTCACTTACTGTATAAATCTAATTGTGGCCAACCCACTTGGGTATTAGCTCATCCCAGCTAATTAGCGAGTCCGACTCGTGACCCGTTCCCCACTTAATTATAATGCGCAGCTGACTTACCTTAAGCCACACAGATCCAGAGCCGGGCCAGTCCACGCCAGCTTGACTCTCGACGACGCCCATATCGTGATTGAACGAAGGTATGGGAAACTTGCCAGTATTGTTGTGCCCGTTGGGTGTCACCAGGTTGGTGGTGTAGGTATTGATGCCGAAGAAGTCGGAGGTGCCTCTGATGCGATGGATCTCCTCGGTGGTGAACTCGGGCAGACGCGACCGTGCTCCGAAGCCTTGCTGCTTGCTCAGATTGCGGATGCGCTCGATCATCACCTTGGGGTAGTTGCCGTGCTTCGAGAAGATCGGATGAGCAAACCAGCCCACATAGAACTGCATGGCACGCTCGGAGGCTTCGCGATCTTCAGCTGAGTCGGGATCGCGCGGCTCCGGCCAAGATGTGTCCAGAGTGATGCCAATGCGTCCGCCCTGACGGTGCTTGAACTCGTCGCGATACATGTGCACCACCTCGGCGTGGGCCTTGAGCAGATTGTGGGCGCACAGGTAGGCGGGGATGCCTGGGTTGTTGTAGGCGGGTGCCATGAAGTCGACGCCGTAGGCTTGCTCGCAGATATGCCACGGCTCATTGATAGTCGTCCAGAGCTTGACGCGATCGCCGAACATCTCCAGCACGAGGCGTGCATAGTCCTTGAACAGCGGTATTATCTCTGGATTGGTCCAGGCGCCCATCTCCTGCAGCCGTTGCGGCAGATCCCAATGATAGATGGTCACCATGGGCGTAATGTTATACTTGAGCAGGCCGTCGATCAAGTTGCTGTAGTACTTGATGCCCGCCGTGCTCACGTGGTTCATATAGCCCCCAGGCATTATCCTGGGCCACGACAGCGAGAAGCGATAGGTGCTCACATGCAGCTCCCTCACCATTTCCACGTCGCGTTGCCACTGCAATTAAAGAGAATTGTTCGATTGTCGTTAGGCTGACTTGTGGTCAAGAATCTGAAGTATTTCCGAAAAGAAAACCAGTTGACCCCAAAACCGTTTGGCGACATATGCAAACCACCATATGGTCATTTGGCTTGGATGTGAGATCTGATTTGATTCGTTTTGTTGTTCTGCTTGCCAACTGCAATACAATCTGGCTAATTTTGTGTGTTTTCGCATTGATACAACAATTCGTTACGGTAGCTGTTGGCCTACGACTACGGCCCGGACAATGGTCGGGAGGGGCGTTTACCTTTCAGGTGAGTACGCTAAACACCTGGCTCTAAGTGGCATAAGTGGGCATATTATGCCAGCATGGCGTATCACTAATTAAATATAAGCTAGACGACTTGGCACTCATTCAATCCCACTGTAATCTCCACTTGACATGCCCGATGACATTGCCAGCAGCGCAAGTGCACAATGCAGCTCGAAGCAGGTTTCATATAGTCATAGTCATATTCACATTCAGATTTATATTCATATTTATTTTGTTTATATACTCGAGAATAACCCTGACCGCCTCTGCTCGGAATCTAGCATATCTGGCATATCTTTTTGTCAGCATCTACCAAATCGGCAGTTGCTTTTGAAAGATTCTAATCGGCATTCGATAATCGACATATTTTTGATTAGTTTTAGCTACAGGATACGATCTGAGGCCAGTTTCCAGTAGCCAATGTTGATTAAGAACTGTCCATTATATTTTCTAATCAGATATGCCACGCCCCATTAATCGTACCATATAATCTATAGGTGTTTCTCTAGAGCAGGTGAGCTGCTAATGAATTGCACAATTTGTTCCGAAGTGAGAGATATAGATATAGTTTCAACCACGCCCTATCGATCGAATCTACAATAATTTAGAAACTTTAATTCAGGTGTGGCATACACTCGGACATATATCTCAAATTTTTAATCGCTTGCCTCAAGACCACCGTAAATAATATTTATATAATCATATTTATATCGTAAAAGATAAAGTAAGTTTTGATTTGGCACGCCAAAAGTGGGCGTTGCTAAGAAACACTTTATTATATTAGACAAAACACACAAGTTTGTATTGAACGTCAATAACGTATAAATTCAATGAAACCAATATGCTCTCTTTATAGGGAGAACGAGCATAGGAATTCCAAGCATTTCCTCGTAATCTGTATTTGGTGTATTTTCAAGATTTAGCTCTAATTAATTTCTGTGTAGGTTCAATCTTCAGAATTTGCTTCACAATTTTTATCTATCAGGGAGGATTAGGGATATTTGAATTTCGTATTAAGATTACCATTTTTGAGATATATTTAATTAATTTAATCACCATACATTTTTGCATAAAATTTTCTAAATTATATTTTAACAACTTTGCAAATCAGATCTCTAAATTCTCTCCATTAATTCACTCGAAATTCTAATTGCGATTAACTCTAGCTTTAATACATTTTTATGGTAATTTTGAGCAGTTGTAGATACGGATTAATAATTGCCCATTCATTAGATACCAATTCATAAACCAACTCAAGTATTTAATCTGCGAGACAGCGCATTGATAGAGCCAATTAGCGCTAATTTATCAAAGGAGCATGACATTTAGTGTTCGTTTGTCGTAGTTATTAAAGTTAGTTCAACTAACTTGCAGATGTCAGTAGAAGCTCACAAAGCACAAACAAAAATGAGAACAAAGTGCAGCTGACTGAGCGGAATTTGCATAGTTTATTAAATATCGGACATAAATCGGAATCAGTGACACAGGTAAATCAAACACCTGTGCACTCAGTTAGCACGTGTGAGAGAGAGAGAGAGAGAGGGAGGGCAGACAGCTGCTCAGCGTTTGTTTTCAGCACAGATTATTACGCTGATTAATGAATTGAATGCGTATTGCTAATGACTAAGCCAGTGGCTGAGGAAAAGTTTAAGTGTGGGCGAGGTAGCTGTATAAATGAAGTATGATAGGTCCGCTTCGCTACTACATATTATTATTATTATAGTTCCAGTTCGATTACCTCAACTTTAACCCTTGAGCCATGATGCCACCATCATTCAAATTAGAAGTTTTTATGAAGCTATTGTCTGTATGCCTCACCTGATGATAGCTGTCCGATGATACGTCTCCATTCGATTGATCAGCTATCTTCTCAGGACTTTTGTGTGTCATATGGTCCCAGATTGATTCGCCTTTGTCATCTGCATTCCAACCACCTTCAATTTGATATGAGGACGAACCAACGCCCCAGAGAAAATCTTTAGGAAAATGTCGTTTACTGCTCGCTGGATTTTCCACGGTACTGTTGGCAAAAGCAAGCAAAGAAGAAAATTGGATAAGTTGTGTGTATGTACATATATGTATATAGAAATGTATGTATGTGTGTATGTATGTATTTACCCTTTCTTTTGCCTTGCTACTCCTGCTAAACTGTCGTAACTTGGAACTTCCAAATTTTGTTTTCTATCTGATTAGCCTAACATTTACTTTTTGAATTGCAATTGGTCTCTTAGCGACCTTTCTATTTAACAACTTTTTGGGTTTTGGTTGATTTGTCAACAAATTAACAAGGTTTGACAATCAAAATGTGACCAGTTTATCTGGCTATAAATAAAGACAGACCAACATACATACATACATACATACATTGGTATCAACCTATATGAAGTTCAAGTTTTGGCAATGAGCTGTTAAATATGTTGCAAATTCTTTGAAATAAAACCAGCCAAGCTGAATTGTTTGTTGTAAGACAAAAAATAAATAAATAAATATGACAAAATTCATATACATTTACATGTTCATTCATGTTCATTTTTATAATTTACGAACAAGTCATGTCTTGGTAAATTTAAATTAATAACAACAATTGCACTTTATGACTATAAAAATTTGATGCAGCTGCAGATAAGCAGCATGATTCGTTTACACACAAAATGAAGGTCAATATTGAGCCGTGAACATGGTAAATAATTCAAATGAAGCTTCAGTTAATTTTGTGTTTAACTAAGCCTCGATTAATGCCAGATTAACTTACGCAGCATCGATGCAGCGACGGCTCTGCTCCAACACCAAAGCAAAGAGCGCTAGTTTTATTAGTTTAAGCCACATAATAACTAATATTTATTGATTTATGTTTAATTTGTATTTATTATATATATATTTTGTATTCAGATTCACACTTGATCCTTTGCACTACACTTGACACAACTCTGCAGCAACTTCAGCGTTCAAATATTCCGTTGACTTCTGCGAGCTGCCCCACTTGACGCGCGCTTCAAGTTTTGTTTTTGGCTGTGATTTGAGCCCGTTAGCGAAACGTTAGCGAATGATTGCGGATGCTTAAATAAACAAGCATTTAAAGCACAATGAACGCCCGCTGAGAACGACTCACGAGATGAAAAAAAAAAAAAAAAAAAAAAAAAACAAAAGCAAAACAAAACGCAAATCGACGAGCGTTCGAAACTCACCTCCGAACGAGTTGCGCTCAGCGGCAACAGGTGTGCGTGTTGTTGTTGTTGTTGTTGCTGTTGCTAGTTATATTTTTATTGTTTCTGTTATTTTGTGTTTTGCCGGTAGCCTGCTGGATTAGTGAGATGAACGAGAAATCCCCAATCTGACGACGACAGCGACGATTCACGCAATGGGCGTTGCGTTTCCAATGGAATTATTTAAATTTGTCATCATCTGGTTTTGGTTTTTTATTTTCTCTCTCTCTCACTCTTCCGTATAAATTTCGCGTGCATTCGCATCTATAAGCATAAACAATAAATTAATTTGAATTATAGCTCTTAGTATGAAGTACTTGATATTCAAATTCGGTTTGAATATGGAATAGCTGCCGCCATAGATCTAATTGTTATGCCAATTTTCTAGTCTCTCACACTTTTCCAATTGATTTCATTTGCCTTTTATTCGGGAACAGGCGAAACAGATCTCTGTTTGAACAAGTGACAGATAGCTACATCAGTTGCTCAGATAACAAACAGTATGTGGAGCATCAGCACAGGTGAGCGAGCCAGCGAGCGAATGAGAAAACATGTTGAAAAGCAATTCAATCAACGGACTTCCCTATCGCTGAGATAGCGCAGAAGTCGAGAACTTTTCTACGTCTTCAGGCCAACAAACAAAAATAACAGACTCATTCAAGCTCATAATATATATGAGTACTATTCATTTACCTGTCGATGCTGCAGAGCTTGAGCTGGGTTTTCCCAAGCTTAAGCCACACATTAACCAAGAAGTGGTAGAGTTAATAGGACAGGCCAACAGGATTTAGTAACCATGACGTAACTTAAGAGAGACTTAGGGTAGATTGATAGGCGAGATTGGCGAGGTCAGCTGAAGGTCAACTTCTCAGCTAAATTTAACAAACGAAAATAGCTTTAGACGGCTGTAATTGTATTTTTAGCTATATTCTTAACTCTAATGTTTTGAATGAAAATAGCATCGTTCAATAAATTCTGGCAATAATTCAATTCAATTGCAATTCAATTATAATTTTATTGACTTGTTAAATGATTTCTTGAGCTTGCCGCATTTTGTGGTTTTATAAATACTCCATTTATTTTAAGTTTGTATTTTTATTTATTTTTAGCCTTTTTCTTAATATACGTGCTTCACACTTAAACATTCTTTTAATGTAAGTCATTCAGGCCGTTAACCCACTGCCACGCCTACTCTCACAACTGTATACAGAATAAAATTCAATGTAATTTGCCAAAACGTATCAAGTTTAAACAATTTTATTTTTAAATCAAAAAATTTCCTATCAGCGATTAAATGAATGCAAAACTGTATGAATATTTGCAAAATTTCTCCGATTACCATATCGTTTGAGTTTATGTTAATACCTGTTGCAGTGATTAATGATCATTTGGACTAGCCAAGTCTTATTTTGTTGGCACTCAACGCACTCAACGCATTTATTCAACCGGTTTTTTTTTTGTTTATTTATACAGTGCTGTCGCCAAAGATTGTGATTTTTTTGGTACACACGTGAAGACGTCTTAAAGTGGAAGCTGGTTTGAATGACTCATAATTGCAAACGCGAAAAAAATCACCATGCGCAGAACTTGAGATAGTTAAATACACGCATCGATACAGTAAACACGTCAATACTGACGGTAAAAAAAAAAAACCCATAAGCATACATATATACTAATTAAAAATGTTTTTCCCTTGGTAAAGGCAACTACGAATACAACTACAAATATTTACTTATTAATAGAAACGTTAATTATTCTAGTATATTGTGTCAAACGCTGTTCAGCCAATTTATATTTGAATTTCGTATTATATATATAGTAACATTCTTTATTAGTTAAATGGAATATTACAAATTTATAGTTATAAATAAAAATGAAATTATCTGGAATATGAATAGTTTCAGTTAATGCATGCAGACTTGAAATAACCAGTGGTGAGTGATATTAATTATATTCTATTAATGTTGATTTATTAATTAGAGTTAAATATCATAAAATATAAATAATTGTGACTGATGCAATATGAGTATTTTTTAAATAGCGCGCCGTTATTATTTAATATCAGTTCACTTATCGATATGCCATGCATGAAATCGATGTTAATTGAGATTTTTTGAGTATCGATACTAGAAGTCGATACTTTGCACTGGCAAAACGTAAACAACTGGCAACACGTGCGCGGATTTTACAAATTATTGAATAAAATGGAATTATTCACAGTAAATCGGTAAATAAAATTAATTATTTTGTAATACATGCGAATTTATTTATAATTAATATTCACAGATACACCGAGGATCAGAGTAAACTGGCACAGGGCAGTGGCGAGGCGGCAAATGAAGATGAAATTTTGCAAAAGCTTCTGCAAAAAGCCGAAAAGCGTAAACGGAAACATAAAAACATCGAGGAGGCGACAGTAAAAGAGCCAGAAGCAGAACAATCAGATAAAGCTGTAGAAACAATAGTGCAAACAGAAAATGCAACAGAGCAACAGACAGAAACAGCATCCGCTGACGCCAAAGAAACGGAGGAAGAGCCTTCGCATGATTTCCAAGTGCTCGGAGCGGATTCCTCAACGGCTAAACGACCAAAAGTGGAAATGGTATTGCCAAGCTGGCTGGCACATCCCACAATTATCGAAGGAGGTTTGAAAGCAGCTGACAGTGCCGATGCGGAGGCAGATGCCGCATCCATTAAACAGCTGCCCTACCTGGAGAAATACATCCGCAGTGCACTAAAGCAAATGAAGATCAAACGTCTCTTTCCGGTGCAGATTGCCGTTATTCCTTGGATACTGGAGGCGCAAGCTAAGCCCGAGCCTTTTCGACCAAGGGATGTCTGCGTCTCGGCACCCACAGGCAGTGGAAAGACTTTGGCTTTTGCCATACCCATTGTCCAGCTGTTGGCCAAGCGAGTGCAATGCAAAGTACGCGCCTTAGTGGTGTTACCTGTAGCAGAGTTGGCTTTACAGGTGTATAAAGTCTTCAGCGCACTGTGCAGCCTGACAGAGCTGGAGGTGTGTCTGCTATCCAAGCAGCATCGCCTGGAGGATGAGCAGGACAAGCTAGTGGAACAGTATAAGGGTGTCTACTACTCCAAGGTGGACATTGTGGTCACTACACCAGGTGAGTTGTGAAATTAACTGCCTTACAAGATTCTTTAATTCGCATGTTACTATTTTAGGTCGTTTGGTGGATCATTTGCATGCCACAAAGGGCTTCTGCCTAAAGTCCCTAAAATTTCTGGTCATTGATGAGGCGGATCGTATCATGGACGCTGTCTTCCAAAACTGGCTCTATCATCTGGATGCTCATGTCCGTTCGACAGCTGATCAACTGCTGACCGGTGTGCAGGCGCCGCTTTGTTACCAGGAGCTGCTCAATAGTTGGGGTAAGCAGCCGCATAAGCTGCTCTTCTCGGCCACGCTCTCCCAGGATCCTGAGAAGCTGCAGAACTTGCGTCTGTTCCAGCCCAAGCTCTTTACCACGAAGCTTACTATGCCAGTTTTACAGCCTGCACTTGACAACGCAGAACTGCCTGATCAGACCAGTACATTTATTGGCAAATATACAACGCCTGCGGAACTAACGGAACAGTACTGCGTGACGGAAATGCGACTGAAGCCACTTACGCTGTATGCCATGGTGCTTTTAAATAATTGGAAACGGTTTTTGTGCTTTACTAACAGTGCCGACACAGCCAACCGTTTGGCCTGTGTGCTCGTTCATCTGTTCAAGGACTCGACGATACGCGTTAGAGAGCTATCCGCCAAAATGTCTGCAACAAAGCGAGGCCATCGCCTTTCGGACTTCGCTCGTGGCAATATTCACGGCCTCGTCTGCTCGGATGCATTGGCTAGAGGCATTGATGTGCCAAATGTGGACGTCGTAGTATCCTACGAGGCGCCGCGTCACATCAAGACGTACATACATCGTGTGGGTCGTACGGCGCGTGCTGGCCAGAAAGGCACTGCCATAACGCTGCTCACGGACAAGGATCAGGCGAACTTTAAGAAAATGCTCAACGAAGTAGGCAAATCAATGGGCGAGGAGCTAATCATCTCTCCGGACATTGAAGTCGAACATGCAGCCATCTACAAGAGTGCTCTGGAGCTGCTGCGCTTGCGCCAAGAGAAAAAGAAGAGCGCCATCAAGGTGCAGAAAATGCGCATTAGTCGCAAAGCAGATTTGCACAAGAAACCTGAAGCGGAGATGACTCTCATGGAGAAACTTCAGTTCAAGGTGGGTGTCCAAGAGAGCAAGGTGAAAAAGACGACGAAACATGCCGTTATAAAGACCCAGAAGCCGACTAAACGCCAACCCATTAAAGAGTAAATATGTAAAAGTCTGTCGTGAGGGAATGTTCAATAAACGTAAATCTATAATAAAATGTATTTATAAAGGAATCTTATCTACTGATAGAAACTGGAAATTATAGAGATTTGTAATCCCAGAGTAAGGCAGAATATGAATGAGTCTGTGTCTGGCAACATTTTTATTGGGCAACACATGCGCTTGGCAACATTTGCGCTTTGCAACACTTGTGATTGGCATCGCAACAATTGCGTTTGGGAACATTAAGACTTTGGCAACATGCAAGCTTGTCAACATTCTCGTATGGCAACATGTGAATTTGGCAATGGATGACTTGGAGAAATGCAATAAAATGACGAGAGCTACAATAAAAAACGCAAAAACACGGGTCTTGGGTAAATACCTGTTACATAGAGCTAACTGAAAGTATATTTATATGAATAGCTAAAAGTTCAAATGTATTGAAATATATTATAAAAAAATGTCTTATCACTGTGAGAGAGTCAAGAGTCAAGTGATTCCCCCACGGGTACATTACCGAAAGCATAAAGAAAATGTGACAAAGCATAACATATTTTGAAAAAAAAATCAAGCTAAGCTTGGAATTTAGCTTATCAAAGTAAATAGTAATAAATAGGGCATAAATGCAAAATTTATAAATACATAAAAGATATCGATATAAATTGTAATAATAAATAAAATATGATCTACTTTGGGATGTGTTGTAATTTACTAGCCTAACAAATAAGCTCTAGCAAAATAGAGTACCTCCGGCTGCCCTTATCGGGCTATTTAAACAGTTCGCTAGTCAGAGCGAATCTCAAAAGTTAAACAGCCAACAAGATGAACACATCAGCAATCAAGTTTCTGACCATTGTAGCGCTCTCCACATTCGGTAATTAATCACATGAACAGTCAGTCGCCTCTCAGGAGCTCTCGCTAATCAGCCAAATCTCTAATAACTTATAGCACTGTGCGCTACGACGCAGGCGTTGACCATTGAGCCGCGCAGCAGTTGGGGAGCAGCGAGTGCTCGTTCGCCCTCGCGCATCAATGGCGCTGTGGAATACGTGATCATCCATCACTCGGATAATCCCAATGGATGCACCACATCACAGCAGTGCCAGCGCATGATCAAGGCCATTCAGTCGGATCACAAGGGCCGGCGCAACTTCAGCGACATCGGCTACAACTTCATTGTGGCCGGCGATGGCAAGGTGTACGAGGGTCGCGGCTTCGGGCTGCAGGGCTCCCATGCGCCCAGCTACAACCGCAAGAGCATTGGCATTGTCTTCATTGGCAACTTTGAGAGCAACGCGCCCAGCGCCCAGATGCTGCAAAATGCCAAGGATCTCATTGAGCTGGCCAAGCAACGTGGCTATCTGAGGAGCGACTATACCCTGCTCGGCCATCGCCAGACCAAGGCAACTGCTTGTCCCGGCACTGCGCTCTACAATCAAATTAAGACGTGGCCGCACTGGAAAGAGATTTAGAGGTTTAGAGAATTCCAGATATTGACTGGACTACGTATTTAAGTAGATTTAAAAATACATATTAAATAAGAAATAAATACTATAGTATATATACATAAACATTAGTATGTACTTGGATTCTATTTCTCAGAAATCTTGCCTAGAACTTAATCCCATCTCATGATATGGATTACTATGAATTCTAAAAGACTCACAGAGCTAATTTAGTTTTATAGCTTAATTCCTTATATACGATTCTCTTTGAACTATGCTCAAAATATACTTTTGCTATAAAAATTAGTATATATTTAGAACTTTATATTGATTAGATCTTGCTTTAAATTGCAATTTCAGAATCTATCTCTGACTATTTAGAAGCTCAGACGTCAGACTTAGAATTTCACCTTTAAGTGTGTTTGCAAGCTGTTTAAATACATATGTATGTGAACATGCAAACAAATTGTTTTTAACTTGATACAGTAGAATCTATTTATGGTTCTACTAACACCTCAGAAAGAAAAGAAAGAGCATGTTTGCTGAGCGATTCTACAGAATATGCTATGATCAGCATCCACCTATTTGCTGAATTAATTGCACGTTTTCCTATATGTTCTGTGTGTGAATTAATTGCAATGGAATTATTTATTTAGCTGTTCATAATCATATTAGAAGATCTCTCTTGAAAGCAAATATTTATGAGCAGCTATTCAATATTTGGTATTTGGAACAGCTGTTAAAGAAATTTAAAAAATATATGTACATATAAAGAAATTTAAAAAATATACATATTTTATATAATTACATACATATGTATGTGTATATCCAATCTTAAAGAAGTCTTGTGTCATCAAGCCAAGCTTAAGCAATGCAAATGAGCTGGCCTTGAGCTGCACTCGGCCCAAATGGGCTCAGCCATGGGTGACGAAAAAGGGCTCAGCTCCTTAAATGGGCGATTGCATTTGAAAAGCAAATGCAATGCAACTGACGTAATGGCAGGGTATATAATTAGCTAAGCTGCTGACAACATGGAACAGTGAACAGCTAGCCAGCGGCAACAGCAAATCCTCGCCAGACACTACACAAAATGAAGCTGGTGAGTGGAGAAGGAAAACGATTGTGGAGCACTTCTTAGCTAATGCACTATTTGCAGCTCATTTTCAGTTGCCTCCTCCTGCTGCTGGCTGCGATCGTGGTTCAGGCCAGCGTTTTACCTGCCAGCACTGGAGTAGCCATTCCGGCACCGGCTCTGGTTCCCGTGGCTGCGAGTCATCAATTTGTGGCGCGCAACTACAATGGCTTCTATGTGCCAACGACGACGACCACAGCTTGGCCAGCTTGGACGTCCTATCCGAATACCTACTATAAGTACAGCGGCGGCTACCCCACCTATACCTATCCCGGCTATAGCTATTCCTATGGCTACTATCCCAGCTATCCCGCCTATGGCTATGGCTATAAGAGCGTTTGGTAAAGGGTGGCAGAAGGGATATATAAATATATTATTGTGATAATCGACAACTTTACCACTCATACAACAACTTTACAAACTCATAAAGTATTATGTACTCTGATAAACATAAAATATATAAAATAAAATACTAAAGACTAAAATTTTCGCTAAAATGCATCTTTCCTTATTAACTTTATTTATTCAGGAGTAAAATGATAAAAAAAACTTTTATTTGGGCCCATAATATATATAATTTAAATAGTTAAGCATTAAAAGATGAAAGGCGCATTGGCTGCAGCCAGTTGTCCAAAGCGTGGAAAACCAAAAATTGAGGGAAACGCAGCCAAGCCCGACGGAGTGGCTATCAGACGAGCAGCTGGTGCGAAGGCAGCATTGAGTTGATTGAAGTAGTCCAAGCGCTGGCTGCTCGAGATGGCCAAAGGAGCAGCTCCTGGAGCGGCGAGACCATTAAAACCAGTGGCTGCCGTGGACAAGCCAGGAGCGGCAGGCAGCAGAGTAGCAGGCTGAGCAGCAGCCAGAGTCGCTACCAAGGCCAGCAGTAATATGTAGAGCTGCAGCGAATCGGAGTAGAATAATGAGGATTTTAGTTTAGATGAAAATACCGACTTCTTGATGTGTTATACATCCAATTGGAAATCTGTATATGTAAGCTATTACAAATATCAGTAAGTGTTAGCTTTCATATATTCATTCCCAAGTGGATATATACAACAGCCTGGATCTGCCCACCTTTTGCTGCATGTTGTAAAGGATATGCCCGTGAGAGACTACGAATGTTGAATGTGCAAAGACTTGATGTGGCCATTGGCTTTTATAACAGCTGAAAGATCTTGCAGTTCCGCAGAGCTCAATCTGGACGTATTTGGTCGAACCATTAGGCAAATTGCATGCCTTTTGATATAGATGATGTGGTTACGACATGGCTTTGTCAAAATTTGGATAAACTCGGATTGAGCGAAACTCAAATGCAGCTCCAAATAAAACGTATATGCAAAATATGAAGCAAAAGAACTTAAGATGACATAATACGATTTCTAAATTGCTTGATAAAAAATATCTATATGTATAATGTAGATATTACTGACTCTTCCATATTTAGTTTACAAAAATAAATCTTTAAATANACTTGCATTTTATTTTTGCATCTCTGTAGCTTTTTTTTAAAGCAATTTAAATTAACAGCAATGGCGTTCTACGTGTGGTTAAGCGTGCGTATGTATGTGGGTGTGCGTGCGTATGTGTGTGTGTGTTTGTATTTGTTTATGCCTCATGGCTGTGACTTCAGTGTGGCAGGACAGGACGCTGCTGTCAGGACTGCGACGGCACGGCGACTGCTCGACGTGCAATTGGAATGCAATTTGTTATGGAAGTTAAGTCTCCACTTGTCAGTTAAGTTTACGCTTGGCTGTTTGACTGTTGTCGCATGTTGCCAAGTTGGCATGTGGCCCATGTGGCCCACGTGGCCCATGCCTCATCCGTCTACTCCGATTGCAATGTTAACTGGTGGCTGCTGCTGAGAGCTTGACTCGCCAGTTACAAATAATTAAAGTCTTTAAATATTTAAATTAATTTGCAATGCTGCACAATATATGTATGTACATACATATGCATATATTGTCCATGATAATTGGCCCCAGACGCAATTTCTTGCTGCATAACGAGGCGTATACGTAATACTTTTTTGCAGACAATCGTCAGCGTAACAAATGTACAATTAAAACTATACAACAATGCAGCTTTAGCTGTACTAATTGTTTAATTTACGTACATGAATATAGATTGTCTGTGGTCCGGCAATAAACCAATATAATTGGAACTTTAATACCATTATATAGTAGTGTTGATCGGAGGAAAATGAGTTGGGCCTGTAGATTCTTTAAGTTCACTACCAGAGAGTGATCCAAAGCCTCTCTTACATATGTGTATATACACTCCGATACCGTAATATATATTAAAATAAAAAAAATAAAATAATAAGAATTCAGTAATCATAATAATAATTATAATAACTATTGTATTCGTATTCGTATCGTATAAATGTAAATCATATTCGTATAAATATCTCGTGTAATATCTCAATATGTTTATAGCTGCTTGGGTTACGTGAGTTACCTGTTGATCGATCAGTTTTGTTCGATTTGTTTGTTATAGGCGCTTCAATATGTATTTATGTATGTATGTATGTATGCAGTTAATTACGTCTATATGTATGCATGTATGTATGCAGTTAAATAATAAACACTTTAGGCTAGTTACACTTTGTATGGTATGTGTTAGACGATGCACTTTGGATAGTTATTGTTGATGATAATTATGATAATACATAKGTATGTATGTATATTTATATAACACTAAGCTAGACGACATTTAGCATAGGCATTAATTAGTTGCTTTCGTTACTTAGAGGATGAGTATTTGGATTCAAATATTGTTAATGTACGTAACAAACGCTCTATTAGTTATCGTAATCGTTAGTCGTTACTGTTATCGAATTAAATTTAGCATAAATAACTAGGTTAGTTGGTTGAAATAGTTGCAAATCTCTCAATTTTGCTTTATATACAATCGTGACTCGACTTCATTTAATAGCAATTCATATTTCGTCGGAGCGCCATCTAGCGGTCAATAGACTCGGGCAGCGCAAGTCGTTTGGTTTACCAAAAATCAAAGGAGGTCCGTAGGCTAAAAGCATGTACATAAGATCACAGTCTATTGTTTAGTCTAAAATATATGTATGTATATGGCAAATGAGTTTGACTAGACCAACAGACAGACAATTACTGAATTGGACTGCAGAGGGCAGGGGGACACGAGGACGCGACTTGCTCTACCAAAGCACATCGTAATCGTAGACGTGCTCGGACGAGGCTATGATCAGACACTTGACGAACTCATCAAAGGTGCGTTTCAGTTTCCACTTTCTCGGCTTGCGCAGCAGCTGCAACGGCTTCAGCTTGATCTTTCGCTTCGGCTGCTGATCGTTCGCCGCGTGCCAAGGACTGCTCGGGGTGGATGTGGACTTGGATTGCTGCTGCGGCACATTGATGTAGTCATGCGGCTGCTGTTGCTGCTGCTTCTGCTGCTGCTGCTGCTGTAGGCGCTGCTCCTGATAGTAGTGATTGAGATTGGTCAGGTAGTAAAAGTCGCCATCGTTGATGACATCGATCTCGGCATAGTTGCCGCCATCGCTCTCTGGCTGCTCGGCGAGTGCTGGTTTGCTATTGCATGAGGCCTTGGCAAAGAGTTGATCAAATCACATGTTTTCATCGAACTTTGCGAAATTGTTGTCCTCGTTCCACTGGAATTTATTGGCATCCGCATTGCTGGACTGCTCCTCCTGCCCGGGCAGCGGCTGTTCGTCGGGTGACTTAAAGAACTCATCGTCCTCGAAGGGATCCTCTTGCTTTTTGGCAAATATATTAACCGATTCGGATTTTTTGATCAGCTCCTGGCGCTGCTGCAGCTTGCTGCTTCGCATGTTCTGCTTGCGGCTGGAGGCTGAGGGCATTGCTGGCGACGCCTGCTCCTTGTCGAAGTCGAACGAGGCCTTGGCGAAATCATCCTCAAAGGCGGCATCATCGAACTGCGACACCTTCACGTTGTCGTCGAAGCGCAGCTTCTGGGTTATGGGTGGCGTCTGACTGGCAGGAGCCTCCATATCGAAGTTGTCATTTCGATGCTGCAACTGCTGCTGCTGTTGCTGCTGCTGTTGCAATTTCTCGCGCTCCGAGAAGTCGTTGGAGAAGCGGAACAGCGACTTGGAACCCACCGTGCTGCTGGTCGAAATGAGTCCAGCTGGCGTGGAGTTGCAGCTGGATGCAGTGCCTGCTGGCGCTGGAGGTGGTGAGCTCTGATTGAAATCCGACTCAAAGCCATCATCGAAATTGAATTTTGTGCCACCGCCGCCGCCGCCAACACCGACGCCAGCTGAGGATTCACCGCCACTCATCATGACCGCCGTGCTGCTGGCATTCGATCTGGGCGTCGGTGTTTGCTCATAGCTATCCACGAAGCCATAATCGCTGTTGGCGCCACGTGGCCGGTTCTGCCCAGGCAGCTTGGCCAGTGTGGGCGCATGGCGCTCTTGCTGCCGGCGCTCGCTCTCCAGCATGCGCTGGTGCATCTCGTGGCGACGTCGATTCAGGCGCTCGAACTTATCCTCATCTGTGGGCGGCTCGTCGTCCACATAATCCTCGTCGTCGTCGTCATCGTCGTTGCGCTGGCAACTGATGTAGTCGTAATTATCGCGCACGCCACGCCCACTGCCATAGCGAGCGCCGACTGTGGCCAGATCCTTGGTGCTGCGTGCTCGCGTCTTCTTGCGGAATCTGTGAAGGATGTTAGATGTGAGTTGGGAACAGTTTTGCATGCACTTCCGGCTTCCACATACCTGCGATCCTTCTCGCCATCGGAGGGCGTTTGACCCAAGGCTGCGGCCCGGCGACTCTCCGCCAAACGACGCTCAGTCTCTGCAGCGCTGGCTGGTCGCTTCCACGATTTCTGTCCAGGCGGCGCGGGCTCTGAAGAAATGTGATGCAGGTTGATATCAATATTTGAATAAATCAATTAAAGGTCTTGACTTACCCTCACCATCCCATGGACTGGAGCCGCTGCTCTTGCGTAGACGCTGTGGCGCACCTGGCACCACCTCTGCGCCTAATTGACTGGGTCTTTGCAGGCTGCGCTGCCTCTGGAAGTCCTGCTCCGAGTCCTGTTCGTAGTCAATGTCGCCGGTCACCCGCAGCTTTGCGGATGACGTGGCCGGTTTGCGCAGCGATCGCGTCTTCAGCTCCCGATCCCGCTCACGATACTCATCCCGGCTGTCCAGGCTGCCGTAGACATCGCCGCCACTGCCGAAGCTGCGTCGCCGTCGTGACGAGCTCTCAAATGACTCGACGCTCTCGTGATCGAACGACTTGCGCTCTCGCTCCCGTTCCCGTTCTCTGTCCCTGCTGTCCCGCTCGTATATATAGTCGGGTCGTGATTTATAACCCATTCCCATGGGCGATCGTCGCTCATCGTAGACGTTCTCGTACTCAAATTCGTAGCCCGGCCGCGCATAGTCTCTGTACTCACGTTCCCTATACTTGGAACGTTCCCGTTCCCGATCTCGAGGCAGCGGCTGTCCACGCTTATCATATAAGGGCGCTGGCGGACCATAGCTGGAGCGCTCGTAGGCGCTGCGCTCAAAGGAGCGAGCACGCACACCCTGCTCCATCTCCTGCGGTGACCAGGTGTGATGTGCCGGATGATGATACCAACTGGGAGAATCTGGAAAGGGAGAATTGAAGAAATGAAATGAGTGAAGGAAATGAAGAGGGGCAAGCTGGAGTACTTTAAAGAGAAGGCAATACTAGGAATGAAAAGGAACGTATGTAACGGAACAGAATCTCTGAGTGGCATAAGGGGAATGCTTGCAATGGAACATACCCAATTCAAAGTTGTCCCTGCTGCGTGAGAGTCCATGCTTGAACTTGCGCTGGGCATGCTCCCGATCGCGGCGAGCGCAGAGCTCAGCATCGTAGCTGAAATGGAAAGTAGAAAGGAATAATTTTCGCCCACTTTGGCATAGGATTTTGGCACTTACTCGTAATCCTCGTCGCAGGAGTTGAGACGTCGAGCGTGTCGCATGTAGTAGCCATGTGCATGAGGATGCGGTGCCAGCTGCGAAGGCGGTGGCAGATTGCGGCGCTGCTGTTTAAGATATTCGGGCGTCTCATCATCCCAAGGACTAAGATCTC